TGTTCAAGGCCTTGATTACTGCCATAATCGGAAGAGTTTCTCTGAACAGCAGCAAACCCATGAAGGTTGAACATACCATGGCCTGTATCGGTCCCCGAAGGTTCACGGCCCCGCCACTAGAAGGCTCGGGCCAAAGGGGCTGCAATTTAGGGGCCTAAATATTCATATGCCCATATTATAGCTGGGTTATATAGGGCTTATATTGGCAGAATGGAAAAGAAAATGGAAACTACTATTTTATAACTGATTATAATAGGATTTAGCGGCCTAAATGATTACCAATATTATGGTTCCATATTCCTTGTATAATTATACTTTATGGTGCCTCAAATGGAGCTCAAAATGATATTGGTAATTATTTAGGCCCCTGATGTAGCCGGTGTACAGCTGTTGCTGGTATTATACTGCGATGTGGGAGCGTTTGTCCTATGTACTCCCTAGAAAGGTCCTATGTAGTTCGAAAGGGGGCCAGTGATCCTGAGCTATGTACTTCAAAATGGGGCCAGTGATCCTTGAGCACACCCTTCATTTCCAATCGATTTTTACTACCACCCCACAACCCTGAATCCCTGAACCCAACCCCTAAGATCCTTAAGTTCTAAACTCTCAACCATCTAAATCCCAAGCCGATACCCCTAAATCTCTATATAATCCGTGTACAATCCCTATATAATCCCCATGTAATCCCTACATAATCCCTATAACCTCCCTAGAAGATCCCGAGGATATCTTTGACTGCCTCCCAAAAACCGGCCAGAAAAACCAGGCACGTTTGGCCCTGGCCCAAAAGGATGCAGAGGCACAGCTGAGGCAGATCCAAGCCAAGGCGAGGGTTGCGGCTTAACATAGCGGCCTAAATGATTACCAATATCATGGTTCCATATTCCTTATCAAATGGACCTCAACATGATATTAGTAAATATTTCGGCCCCTGTAGTAACAAGTTGCATAGGGGTTAGGTGTTAGAGTGGAGGGCTTTAAGTTGTGTAGGGTGTGCTGTAGGGTTTTGGGGGTTCTGGGTGTAGGGTTTAGGATTTAGAGTTGGGGGTTGAAGGTTTGGGGTGTAGGGTAGGGTTTGGGATTTACAGCTTGGGGTTCAGCGCTTACAGTTTAGGGTTTAAGGTTGGGGTTTGCAGTATAGGTTTTAGGCTCTCAGTTGAGGGTTTAGGGGCTTTGTGCGGGTGTTCGTTGGTTAACGGCTTTCATGACAATCTGCCTAAATGGGTCAAATAGTTATAGGGATAATGTAGGGACTTTTTAGGGATGTTGCCCCAAGAACGGAGAATCGACCGCGAAAGCTAATGGAAATTGAAAGGCAAACTGTGATTAGGTAGGGCGCTGCAGGGATAGTTACCATTATTCTGGTCTGCGGTCATTGTGTGAGTGTGGTGCTGGGTACGGGGACATCTCCAACATCAGATTTTAAAAGTCCTGGGCTTGGGTTCAGCAGGTTTCAGGTTTGAGGGGGTTAAGAGAGATCAGGTCTTGTTGCTTTAGGGCCTGAACCCTTTACCGCGAAGCTTTTTTTTTGTATTGTTTCATGTCGTTCTATTAAGGTACAGGCATAGTGAGTTTTTGGCCTCTCGGGAGCAGGTTCCTGTGTTTTTGGTGAGGCTTCTGTAGAGGTGTCCAGGTCCATGATGGGTTGTTGCTTGTTCAGGGTTAGCGTTTAGGGCCTAACTAGGGTTTAGGGTTCAGGATGGAGGGAGCAGAGGCAGGGGATATTGAGATCAGTGTATCGGATGATGTCAAGAATTCGTACAGACCGCAACATAGTCATAGAGGGGCGCGATAGACATGTCATCTTTCAGTCCCTAAGCACCACCAGCAATGATGGTGAGTACCATAACTTGAGGGTATCGCATTTTAGGATATACTACAGTATGTTTTAATATGCTATAATATGTAATGCTATGATATAAACTTGGGTGCTATCCCCACCCAGAAGCAAGGCTTTCGAGTTGCTGTTTTTCTCTTAAGTTACGGAGGCGCTCGAAAGCTGATTCTGAAATAGCCCGGATAAGTATAGTCTCCCTTACGTAAATAGAATATTGAGTATATGTGTATCTTGTTATGACTTACCCAAAGCCATATTCTATGTGCTTAAGGGAGACTATTGAGTTTAGGCAGTAGCATTTTGGCTGCAAGAACAGCAGGCTCTGAGCGGTCACGCCCAAGTATCAGCAGCACGGCCGCCAAATCCTTGACAGCACCCATGTATGTCAAGCGTTTATATTGAGATGTGAAACTAGTATTGTAAGATATGATGCAAATTTGTTCGTTCGCAGTTGCTGGAAACGCTCGTTCCGCATCCCACCAAACACATGACGAAACTCGAGGTCAATCCCAAAGATGCATTAAATCCCAACACTCAAACCCCAAGCCCCCAAACCCTAAACCCTAACCGCGTCCACCCAGCCAGGCAGATGTAGCCGAGATTGAGCTCCGCGTGCAGACTGACCGAGCGATGCTTGGTAGCCAGAGAGCTGTTGGGGGTTCAGGGTTTGGGGTGTGGAGTTTAGGGGTCGGGTTTAGGGTTGAGGGGCAGTTTTTAAAAAGGACTTTCCTGGGACCCCCAAAACAACCTCAACAATATAGCGGGAATACAATCGGAATTTGCCTGCCAGGGTCTTCACACCCCTGCTATCTTCCTACTGTATTCTCAGAGTTCCCAGTTTTGAGTGGTTCCAATTAAAGCTCTTTCAGTCTTGTTTGCAGAAGCGTCAAGGCTAGAAGAGGAAGAAGTGAAACCAGGTAGAGCCAAGTTGTAACCAGCTAGTTAGCTCATATCCAATCGTTTTTCATAGTTGCTATTGTGGATGAAGCTGGTGTTTTGAAACATACCTACCTAGAACTGAACATTTGCTCTTGTCTCATCTTTTGGCTGCCAAGGCCGAATCAAAGGGAGCAGAAACTTAATTTCAAGATTACCACCGAAAAAGGATGCAGGTCAGAATATGTGTTGCTGCATAGCTCCCACTCCCGCAGCGAGTGGTTAGCAAAAAGTTTTCTTGCCACAGTGATACCTTACCCCCTAGGCTTACACCTTAAATTAAGCCCATATCCTAAACCATGCGAAGTAGTAAGTAGTCCCGTGCATGTCCTTCTCCCTAGACGACCAGCACATCACGGAGTCCTTAATTTCCTGAAGGTTTAGGGTCTAGGGTTTGGGCTGCTTCTGGTAAACTTCTGAAAAAAGAATCTCCATGTTCTCCTAAAGTGGCACCTCAGACAAAATCTTCTTGTCCCTAGGGGAAT